AAACCTGAAGGACACACACAAACACAAAGACCAATGTCAACACTGAAGTTTACATGTTTAACAGCTGCATTCACTGACCCCAGTAAGAACTTTACTGCACCAAAAACAGTCACTAATAAGGTTTTTACGAGTCTCGCAACAACTCAGTAACTTTCAGTCACTCTCAGTGTGGGCTCTGAAAAACAGTTAAAATGATCATATTAATGATGATGATGATATTAACTTTAACTCCTTTTTTTGCACTGCAACACACACTCAAATAAAAAAAAAACATTTTAAACGTCACTTTTATTCACTGTATTTCACTGTGTGCTCTACTGTGTCATATTTGGTTGGATGGCTGTTCTTCAAGTGCAAACCCAGCTGAAACTGTGTTAGCTGATATACTGTATATATTGGATGACATGGTCCACATTCAAATCAGTATGGGCCATATATATTTTAACTGAATATCTCTCTATGCTCTATTAGGATCTGCGTGTATAGAAACAGCAGTGCTCATGTTTAAAAAGCAGTTTAAAAACAAAAAACAAAAAAAGGTTTAGGACTCACCTCAAGAAAGTCGAACAGCAGCGTAGCCGTGATGTCTGCCAGGGGCTCCATGTTGAGCATCTGAGCCAACCAACGCCAGCCATTGTTCAGACCGTGAGGAGCAGCCTGAAACACAAGAAGGAAAAAGTGTTAGAGTTTAACACAACAGAGAAACAAAGGTTTAAAGATGCAGAAGCTTAATAATATGTTTAAATGGTGCTTGAAATAGCGCAGTCACGCTGATCATTCAGTGAATGAACAAACAGACAGAAAGTGAGACAGCTTTTACCCCCTGCTTGGAGCCGTAGGGCCACCTCAGCTGGATTATGGCAGCATAGAGACGGATCATCCCCGACATCCTCTTCAGGAAACTGTCCTGACCTTCAACCCCGGAGTCGTCCACACGGTAACCAAGAATCCTGATGAAGTGAAGGTAAAACATATAGCAGATGAAAATCTGTACTCTTCTCAGACACAACACTTTTATTTATTTTTTATTAATCCAACATAATAACTGAGTGAAACACATTTCTGTCTCCCTGACCTCTGATATTCCTCCACCTGTGTGCCTTCCTTCATTGGAGGGTAATGTGGGACTGCGTACGGACATTTCTTGTGCAGGTGGGCGAGGATAAAGTCACCCACTCGAGGGTGCAGCTCCCAAACGCCAGAGGCCACCACGGCGATGGGGAAGGCAGCTTCGTGGTGAGACGCCACCTCCTCCTCTCCTTGTTTCTATAGGAGGAAAAAAAATATGTTTTTTTTGTACACTAAATACTGGGAACATGAATGTACACAGTCGTACAGGAACATGTGGCCCTAAAACTGCAAGAGTTAAGGGTTTCAATGGCACTGAAGTCATCAACTGCATATTAAAAAAATGGATAGCACACTGTGATCTAATTTATTCTGCTCCTAATCAATAACAATCTTTGAGGTCTGTCTCACACAGCAGTATTACAAGTTAGCTGAAAAATGTCAGTGTCTCAGTGAACACCAGGAGCCTCCTCGAATCAGGAACATGGACTGAAGTCAAAGAGCTACTTCCAGTTGCACTCTGTAAAGTTACCCAGATAAACACGGTTATCTTGATTCAGCCGGTCTTAAAGGACATTTCTATTGAACGCTGCTACTAAAGATTGACTTATTAATCAATCATCCAGTGTATAAGATTTCATTCCGAAACCCCAAAATATTTCATTTACAATCTTATAAAACACGGGGGGAAAGCAGCAAATGTTCATATCTTGACAGTTATTTTTGAGTGACCATATTTTGGTTTTGCCACAAACATTTATTCAATTCGAAGAGTTTCTGGGCTAATTTATCAACCACCACCAGGTGGACTCACCACAAACTTCTCAGCCAGTTTGTAACTGACGAAGTCCAGGCCCTGTGGATGCTGGGAGGTGGAGACAGACTTCCCTCCCGACACCACCGGCCGTCCCGACAGCAGCTTGTCAATCTTGTCAAAGATTTCTTGGAGCTGTGATCCAGAGTTGCTGGAGATTTGACTGACAGGGATGCTGGCTGCTTTCTGGAGCTCCAACTTCAGCTTCTTTGTCTGAGTCCAGAGAGGAGAAATTAAAGCATCTGTACAGAGTTTTGCTCACAAGTAGTATCACTAATACTCTGCCACAACAGCGCTTAATATTACGGCTGGTTATTGAACCTCGATACTTGGTGAGTACTGAACAAAATCTGTCCATAACTAGACTAATTTAATGTACTTGTATGGCTGAATCTACTTATAGGAAAACCCTCCTCTCTGCCTGGAACAATCGTCTGCTCTTTTCTTTAATTTATGAAGCACTTTGTGAAATGTTGAATAGTATAAATGAACCATTAATATCTTTATTGTTTAATTTTCCGGTTACATGATAAGCATTCATGCAGAGAAGCACCAACTCACCTGGGCGTCTTTAGGGGAGTTGAGTTGTTCGAAGGACTGAGCGCACTGAGCAGCTGAATGCTGCAGCTCCTTGTACCATTTCAGTGTGCTTTCTTCAGCGCTGTTCTGCAGCCCTGTTGGAAGACAGTAACAGTCCAATTAAAAGGAAGCAACTAAAGGCAGAGACGAAACCAGAGCTAAAAGGAGAGTGAATATTGGACGTACGTTCATCAGGTTGACACAAAAATGATTTGAACTGAATACTGAACGCTGGATGTGTAAACAGGCAACTGTTTACAAACACCTTCTCCATATCAGCCTTACAAAAGATAATGTATCAGTGTGGTTTACCACTTTTTGGGCTGCATTCCAGCATCTTTTTGGTATTTTGGACAGTGACAGTTGAGAGAGACTGAAAATGCAGGGGAGAGAGAGGGGATGACATGCAGCAAAGGGCCCAAGCTGAATTCAAACCCGGGAAGATGCGCCTGTTATACAACCTGTAATGTATAGTCTGCACTGCCTCTGTCCATTTTCAATAAAAAAAAAAAAAAAATTAATATAATATAATATATATATTATATTA